CCACTGAGCCACCTTCCCAGCCCCTGAGAGTCTATCCTTTCCCCCCGCAGGGTGTTCCGGATGGAAGCTAGGTCTGTGTGTGTGCTGGCAACACTCTGCACTGAGCTTCTGTAATTTTCTCTTAGGAATAATCTGCTTATCTTTTTTGCTTCTTCTTATTTTTTCTGTTGAATTTTTATTCTGTTTTTCTTCTCAATTTTTATGACCTCTTTATATCAGGAGTATTAGCCCTTTGTGATGTATGTTGCAGATATTTCCTCTCAGATTATGTTTTATATACTGTATTACTTATTTTTTTGCTCTATTATGTAGTTGAATATATATCTTTTTTATGTTGCATTTGAATTTGCATCATGAGGGTGTTTTGCTGTATTTGGGTTTTAAAATACCCAGGCATTTAAAAGTTCTTACACATTGTTTTGTTTAGATTGAGATCCCAGAACCAGTTGGAGTTTGTCCTCATGTTTGGTACAGGATATGGTGTGGGTCTGGTTTTACCCTTCTCCAAATGGCCACAGGCAACACAGTGCCACAATTCAGAAGCCATCTCAGCCGTGTCATTTCAGGGCTTGATGCTGGGAACCGACCCTCCAGGCTCACAGATGCTTGTCTTTCTGCTTGTCTTCTGCAAAACAGGGCGGGCAGCACTGGCATCATGGGCTTTGCTTTGCGTTTTGATTGGGCGGCATCCTCCACCTGGTCCAGCGCTGCGTGTTGGCTGTGGCTGAGCGGCAGGAGAACTTGCCACATCCAAGCCCCTTTGTTCTTCTCTCCATAAGGCTTTGCCTTCCTCTCCTCAGCCTCATTCATCTCTGCTTTGTCTCCTCTTCCCTGCTTTGTCTTGTCGGTGTATCTATCTGAGTTCCAGTCTTGAGCCATATGTATAGTCTTATACACAATAGGAACCTGTAGCTTTCTTGCTGATGACTAAAGGACTGAGAATACTTGAATGCTTTTGTGATGGGGTCTCTCTCTGCCTCCCCATCTCTTCACACTCTGTTCTCCAGCCTAGGCTCCAGCCTGCCCGTGGCATTGATTTTCTTGCCTGCAGTGCAAAGGTTGGGGTTTGCGATGACTCGGGGTTTCATTGGCTCACGATAATGTTGTGTGTGGGCTGTCAGAACTGTAGCTGTCAGGGCAGATCAGGTCTGCTGGTGCTAGTGTTTTTATAGCTTGTTGTTGTTTTTTTTTAATCAAGTGAAATTAAATCAGTCTGGCCCGATAGGCTCTCCTGAGACGAGGCTGTACTGTTACCTTCCCACAGATGAGACCGTTTGTGCTTGCTTTGTACAAACTGTGTCCTTCAGGGCCGAGTGCAGCCTTCTCCACAACTAGGAGAGATGCCTGGGGACTTCCCAGGCTTGGATTCTGCTGCCAAAAAGCTGTGATCCCTGGGCAGAAGCTCGTACCCCTTCCTGACCCTCCACACGTGTCCTCTTTTGTTTCTGTAAGAGAAAAAAAACGGATAACGTATGAAGGAATTTAATAGAGCTAATGAACTAAATCTGCTCCCTATCATTTATTAAATATTGGGGCTAGGAAGGTGGCTCAGTGATAGTGTTTGCCTTGCATGGATGAGGCCCTGGGTTCCATTCCTCAGCATCACATAAACAGAAAAGGCCAAAAGTGGTGCTGTGGCTCAAGTGGTAGAGCATGAGCCTTGAGCTGAAGAGCTGAGGGACAGCGCCCAGGCCCAGCGTTCAGGCCCCAGGACCGACAAACAAACAGACAAAAACATTTGTTAACTATTAACTTGCACAGAAACTTCTATTTTTTTATAAAAGTATTTTTTATTGTGAAAATATTGTACAGAGGGGTTATAATTACACGGGCAAGATATTGAGTACTTATCAAGCATTGTAGCCTCCTCCTTTGTTTCCTCTTCCCATCCCTTCGCATCCACCCTCCCCCCCTTCATCCCCCCCACCAAAGTTATAAAGTTCGTTTTTCGACATAATGACTTGTACATCTCATTGTTACAATGGGTCCTCCTGTATCCATTTTAATGATTTGTTTTTTCTCTTCCCCTTCACATATACCAACATCAAATACAGTGAAAGCAAGGGTTATACCATGGGGGAGGGACATACAAAGCAACAAAGACATAATCTTATAAATATGTTAGAAACAATCGCATGAAAGATCTCTCTTTTTTTTTTGTGAGTCCTGGGGCTTGAGCTCTGGGCCTGGGCGCTGTCCCTCAGCTCTTCAGCTCAAGGCTAGCGCTCTACTGCTTGAGCCACAGTGCCACTTCTAGTTTTCTGGTGTTTTTTTTTTTTTTTAATAAGTGATTACATAATTTCCCAAATTTCACAGTATTATGGGATAGTGATGCTCATTTAAAGTTACAAGCTCATTCTAACTTTCCTGGAGCAAATTGTCTATCATGGTCTGTAACATATAACGGTATACACATATACACCATACATGTGATCAGCAGCATGGCTGCTGGTTATTTAGAAACTTCCATTTTTTCGGAGACTGGAACTTGAACTTGGTGCCTGACGCTTTTGCTCATTGGCTGGTGCTCTACCATCTGAGCCGCTCCTGCGGTCCCAGGACCAGAACATTCTTCCCTGCTGAAGACACAGAGCACCCACACATGAGTGTGGCTTGGGGTGCACATCCTGTGAGGCCCACCAGCCCCCCGGTCTCCCCTGCCTGGGCTGGATCGCAGATCCTTGGCACAGGTGCCTGAACACAATGGCTGGCAGCTTTTGTGGTGTGGGGGCCTCAGAACGTGCCCCTAGGAATCCCCTGGTTCTGTGAGCAGCCTGGGCTTGGGGTGCTGGGTCTTGAGATTTGAATGTGTTCTTTGGAAGTGCATAGTTTCAAACAGTTCTTCTTCTTCATCGTCTTCCCGCTCCTTGCTGTGACTTCCACAAAATGCACAGGACACATAATCCCAGGCTGCCTGCCACCCACCCCCAACCTGCC